CAAAATAATCGATAACGTATAAGAAGTCCTACCTGGGTTGAAAAATAGAATAGCTTTGAGCGCGACATATTCGCACAAATCCACTCCCAAGCGACGCATCGGTAACACTAACTCGTCAATAATTCGTCCAACGACACAACTGAAGAACGTCTGACTTGTCTCCTTTGCATTTTCCCTACTGATCCAAAAACATAATAAAAACAACCAATCAACAGAATAGGGAAACCCCGCCCAAAGTGGGCGGTCCTTTCGAAACGATCGAGGATAGCTACTGACTTGATGTCACCAATATTCGCAGCATGTTCCTTGGGAATGAGGGTGTCGTTGGCAAGACAAATCGAGTTCTCCAACGACAGCGATCGATACGCCACACCAAGAATGATGATTTGCGCAGCTGTCGCTTTCAGCAGTGCTGCCTGAAAATTCAATAACAATCGAATAAATCGATCACGGGTAACCCACCATTCCTGGAGGTAGGACACCTGGTAAAAACATATTGCTAGGAGTATGGTAGAGCGGCGTGAGAATCAGCTGGCCCTCATCCAGTAGTAACAAACGCGCAAAACTACCTGTACCCCGATTACCTGGTCGTCCATTGAGAGGCGGGTGAACTGTGGCAGTGATTTCGCCCATTCGACCAGTAGCACGAGTTGCTGATGGATGCTCTTGCCGACGTCGTCCAGTGTCGCTCGACGATCGTCTTCAATTCGCCACGTCTTTACTTTACCACAGTCGTAGGATACCTGAAATACAGTTTATTACAAACGCGAGGTGTGGCGGGGCTTCCGGGCGCGTGCGGTCGCGTTACAGCACCCAGCTTTCTTGTACTTCAGTTCTTTTGAATTTCTGCTCTAACGGGAACTAATTAGAAAGAGATACTCTACGAAGGGCAAAAAATAACAACCAGGCCGCTGCGCAGTACATCATACACAGACGCCGCAGCGCGACTGCACGCAGCTACTCTCGTTGATCGGAATACTATCGAAAGAAAACGTCTGATTGGAAGAACCCTTCCAAATATGACTGGGAAAGTGAACAAAATCATACCTGCTCAGTGCTTTTGATCACGGAACTCCTCAACTGCTGGCAGAGTTTCTCCGATTTCAACAAGCCGTCGAGCAATTCTTCCGTTTCCGCTTCCGGTTTTCGTCGCTTACCGATAGCATCGCGTTCGTTTTGAATCGCTTAAACATTTTAACAAATATTTTCTCACATCAAGACTTAGATATGCCTCTAAAAATTTGAACCGAGTATCGTATCGGGAAGCTCAAGAAGGAAACTGGGATTTATGTTTTGAACTTGCGTTTTCATCTGTGGTCACCACTCAAGAATTATATTCAAAAAATTCCAAGGCTGATTTTACGATGAAAAAGTAGCTTATTGGAAAGAAGGGTACACGAAAGAAGAAGAAACCATGAGAAACGGCCCAGAACCCGAGAAATGGTACCCCTTCCTTGCCCGTTGATTTGAGCATTGATGCGACTCTCATCGCTGTGCCCTCTTCAACACTACGCTCTCTCTGCTATCTAATCACTCGCCACGTATAGACCTGCGGCGAGTGATTAGATAGTCGGTGGGCGTGCCGGGCCAACCGCGCCAAAAATAGCGCTAGTTGGCCGGGACATACCCTTCGATGGGAATTGCGTATTGGCCCAAGCCCTTAAAGGCAAAAGTCGGGCTCAATAAGGGGTATTATGGCGATTGAAACTGAGTATAGAGATGCGAAGTGGAACGACAGTGGAGAAAAAACTGAAAAGAAACCGTCGACAAGGCCGAAAACGAAACCCCCTTTCCCACTAGCAGTGAAGGAGGCTTGCTTGGGGAGAGCCACGTCCAAACGAGTTTTCCGGATATGCCAGCCGTTCCATCGGTTGATACGGCAATCAACCTAGCTGATTCACACGTTATGCCAGCCACGCACCACATCCCGCGGTGGGCGGGACCAGCTGATGCAACGAACCCATCGCTGTAAGTAGTAGGCCAGAGGCCTTGACGGCGCGCAATCTCGAGTCAGGAGTGTGGCATCACCCCTCTGAGCGCATTCCTGGAAATATTAGTGATGGAAAGGCCTTCTATGGTCACCTAATCCTGACTCGTGGCTTTAAGGGTCCGCCTGTTTCTCCCGAAGGTGGGTTTCTCCTTCTTCGACCTTTGTTCTTATCATGGAGTCCTTCCTCAATACGAAAATGACGACATATTTATTTCATAACCAAGTCTGCTTAGCAAGTAATTCAAGGCTATTGACGATGTGCACGGTCGCGTAATGATTTATTGGCCCCTATTCTATCTGCAAATCGGCCAAACCTTTCGCAAAAGGTACTCGAATGAGAGCCTTAGCGATTCATCAGAAGACTTTCTCCATTAGCAGAAGATTTCAACAAGAACTTTCTTAGCATAAAAAATGAAATCGGACACCAGAAAAAGCGCGGCACAACCGCACGCATCAGTACCGCGTTAGCTGTGAGGGCCTATGAATTTCCAGAGAAGGTCGACAATGAACTTCGTAAGAATAATTACCGTTTGACTTCATTCCAACTTCAATGCATTTCTGTAGACGACAAGATCGGCATGCGTTGCGTTGGTCTAAACAAGGACGTTCCTCAAAAAAAATGAAGCAGTTAGAATGATTGTTTTAGACATTTTTGCTAAACAAAAATTTGGAAATGTTGGAGGAAAAGGCCGAATTTTGGAGGAGTTTCTCGGGAAAAGCTCTACAGATAGCATTGCTCGTTTTGAAACTGATTTGGATAACTTACTAATAATTTAAAATAATTTTCCGGTCTGTTTCAGTTGGTACTGATGGGAAGTGCTGAACGTACTTTTTGTGACATCACAGCATTTATTAAATCGGCACACATAGTTGTGACGTTTTCGAATACTTCGGCGGAAGAATCCTAAAATGGAAATGGTTATCATTTGTGAGGTGACAACGGACAACTGTCACTATTCGAAAAGCCACCTTTACATCCATCGCAACTGATGGCACCATAGTGCTTGCCGGTGGCACGATCGTCACAAATGTGACAGATTTCCTCCACCATTGCTACGCTAACTGTATGTCACCCTGTCCAATGTCTAGATGATAATAGGAAAGGAACAGCAAGGAAAATCAGTTCAGCATAAGTTGACGAGGGCGGTTTAGCATCAAGAATTGTAGCCCTCCAAGACTAGCTTAGCGCTTCTGAAAAACGCAATTAATTCTTTGTGAAGAGGTCACAACGTGATGTCGCTCGGACTTGCAGTTGAAAATTTGCACAAAAGGATGTACCCTCGCCTTCAAATGACCAGAAATTGTGCAATTGCAGAAATTGACGTGGCATTGGCACACGTGGCTAAATTCTCGATGAAAAGGTGACATCACGTGTGCTCAAAGATGTTCTTGAATCGATGCCACGTTAATGCCACGTCAATTTCTGCAATTGCACAATTTCTGGTCATTTGAAGGCGAGGGTAGAATGCCTAGCAGTCGGTATAGCGCATTGCATCTGAGTACGGTACGTAAGCAGCGTAAGCAGTTGCAAGGAACCCTGACACGAAGCAGTCCCAGTCCGTTGGCTCGCAAGCTCGAACAACATGAGAGTGCGACGTCGCGCGTTGACCTCTTTCTACGAACGACCAATATCAGGCGGGATACGTTTCGAAAAAATCGATGGATAAACGAGTAAAACAACATGACACAACAACGAAACATAGGGAGGAGAAGATGATTATCTATGAACAAAAAAATAAATAAACGAAAAAATAGGACAAATACTTTATATTTTAAAAGAAAAAAAAATTGAGTATCAATTTGGTGAGTTGTGTAGCATTTTCACTTTATTTGTTTGATGCAAATAATTACAGAACAGTAGTAAAAAGTATCTCTGATTCAGGTACAGCTCACCAAGCTGTTCGTTGAGAAAGTGAAGCTACAAAATCTTCTTACAAATTCTTTGGAAGTGCCGCAGATGCCAGAAATCTCAAATTGGACGGGTAAAGCCTTCACCGTTGTACGACCCTTTTTTGGGATACGCCACGCATTCGTGTTCTATTCAGCAAAGTGAAAGCATTTGAAAGAAACATGGCTTATAGAGAGATTTGGGAAGCCAAAGATGTGCCAGTTCCCGTCCTCCAGATGTGGTGATGAACCGACCCCCAGAGAGGTGGAAAATTCGGTTGAACTGGACCAGAATCGACCCGTAGTTTGACCCCACCACGCTCGTGATGCACCCTTGCCTCTACACGAATGTTATTTGCAAATATGTGAGAGAGTGAACCTTTCGGTGCTGATTCGTCCCTAATCTCTCTTCGGTAATCGAAAAAAGCTAGGAATTCTAATCGTAGAGGTTTTGAAACGCGTTGCTGATTTGCTATCACTAGACAGCGCTTTTTATCCTCTCACGTACTCTAGTATTCAAGAATAGCTAAGGTAACTAGAGTTGCGTTATGCTTGCTGTGTTATAAAATTAATCCGAGGTCTTGCAATTCAAGGATTAAACTCCAGGCAGCATCAGTCATCCATGGTTCCGATTTTAAAACATCTCACGGGCAAAGTTCGTCAAAATCATCGACAGTCCCATCGAAACCGAGCTCCCTCCATACAAAAGGTTCCCCAGCAACTTCTCTGTTCACGACCTCTTCTGGAAATGTCAAACGACACGCCTCCTCCCTTCTCGCCGCTGAACTTGGTAAAACGTACAGTTGACCCTGATACCAGGGCTTACGATCAGGTCGTCCTATTCAGAGTGCATGGTCATGTTTTTTGCACGTGAATTCACGGTGCTTAGCAGGTATATGCCCCTAATACTTCGTCTAGTGATAACAATCACCTGATATAGATTATATCGACCTTCGACACCAGAAAACATTTCAATTTCACAAGAATGCTGGGTTGTGAACAAAACTTTCGCCCCAGGCGGGACTAGAACCCGCACCTCTCGCTTTCCGGGCAAGTGCGCTACCAGTTACGCTACCGGGGCACCATTTCATTCCAACTCAGCTTTTCATGGTATACTTACCATAGCTTGTCAGCACTCACACGTATAACGTGTTGAGCCGGTTAGCCGATATCGGCAATGACCGCGAGGCTGAAAGCTTTACAAAAACAAGTCAAATCTCAATCACAATTCCTTGACAAGGAATCAGTAGTAGGAAAAATAGTCTCGTTGAGTAATCAGCACCCAATGTGGTTATCAGATCGAACCCTGTCCCCGTCAATCGCCTTGTACACCTGGCAAAAAACCTTGGAAAAACTAATCAGGCATTTGCGGCTTTGAACTGCGATCACAAGAGCAAAACTCAAGATCAGTACGACCTCCTGGAGAAGATTTACTTCAACCGTGCGGAACACGACCTTTACTTACATTACAAGAAATCTAGTGAGAGGGAAGGCTTCATCCGGTCGGCCTTCTTATGCTTCTTGATGTAACACAGCTGCTCTCTAGATTACGTTTCAACTCGCTTCAAAGCATGTGCGACTAGAGAGGGAACCTCTAAAATGCAATAAAAGCCATCCATAAAACGACTTCCTCCTTCGATAATCACATAAGTATGATCCTTCCCGTTGAGCTCCACGCACTGAAGAGGTCAATCATTAGCCTTGGACTTTATAGAAACTTAGACAAAACTTGTCGTTAGTCCTTCCTCGGAGTGAAGGGTCTCTCTGCTGGAAGTTGGCATTGTCGGCACTGATTGCAGGCAGGTTCAAAATAATTTTCTTTGGGTCTCTGATAGGTCAGTGGCGACCGTGGAGTGTTGTTTAGGCTGCCGATGTTCTTCCCATTAGAACAAGCGCACTCAATTCAGTCCAGAGGCGAACTCGCCGACCGCGAAATCGAGCCCAGCTGGTCTTTCATACGCATTTGGGACCGTCGACTGGTCCGCAGTGAAGAGTACCCTTCATCGATAAGACAAAAAAGCCTGTATGGGCATTACTCCGTCCTGTCACTGTTTGAAAAAAAGTACATCTAAAACCCGCTATTATTTTGAGTCGAGATGTAAAGCGTGGCGCAATACAAGAAAGGATCAATGAACGCTTAGCGTATTGTCCTTTGGTTTATTATTCTTGCACCAACCGGATTTTTTGTCTTACAAAACGCTGTCCAACAATTTTTTGAGGCGCAATGACGGAAATAACCTCTTCAGCGATCCATGATAGTTGTTTTCCGCGAGTTGCCCTCATCCATAACCTATCCTTTCGCTAATAGAGCTCATTGATGGGCAACTCTATGAACTATAAAAATGATGACAGGCGAGGGAGAAAATGACGGACGACAGGCGGAAATATCACAGAGCTTTTATTGTTGGTGATCTTTGAACCCGTCAGTTTCGGCGTTATAAAGAAAAATGAGAAGCCTCGGAAAAATGCGCAATTCACTGGCTGAAAAGGGTCGTAAAAGTGCCTGATTCTATAAGGATTTCAGAACGAAGAGAGGAAGTATTGGGTTGAGTCGCACGTAAGTGTTAATTTAACATTTATAATGAAAATTTCGCCGAATCTTTTCTTTATAATACCGTCTCATTCATCAGATGCCATCTCAACAACCCAACAACGTGTCTACATCTGGTCCACGCATCTCCATCGCAAGTGATGGATTCCTCTTCTCTCTCTCTCTCGCATACGCAAAGACGCTGACGAATAATTGTGATGCCGTTAGTCGAGGTGTTCGCTTGCCAAAATCGCTGATGTGCAACATGGGCAAAAACCTTTTTTTAATCCCTCCCCCTACATATTGCATCTTGGATCCGTGAGAGTGGCAAAACAGAGGGGCTCATGGGCCGTGGATTGAACATTAATGAAAAATGTTTTCATCAACGTTTGATCCTCGCATAGACTACCCGAAGATTTTACAAAGAGGTCCCATTACGGCTCCCTGTCCGCTATCACAATACCTCCGAGGATTTCAATACTACTCTCCCAACACACATTATACGGGAACCACAAATACGACTCGTTTCAAAAATCTCAGATATCACACTTCGTTGGTGAATTACTGATTCAGGGTTTTCCCTGGTTCACCCTACGAACCGAGCTGCCTAAACCACTCGGTTTGTAGGGTGAACCAGGGAAAACCGCTCGGTTTGAGGATGGAAGGCCAAATGTGCGGCGTGCCTTGAACTGATTAGCAGAGAGTGCAAAAGACTTATATTATCAAGAAAACGACGTGAAATACAAAAATGTACCGCAATGAATGGATCCAATGTTCCCTTGATTCGCGACTCAAGATCAGCAACCCTGCCTCCACCCCGCAACCACTTATTCTTTCAATTATAAATAAAATTAGAATAGGCTGAACTGGATTATTTGTACTACAGGCACAGTGCTCAAATCACTCACCTAAGCATAGTTCTCGGAACCACATTGGTTGCTGTCCCCTAAGCAAGATACATTAACATATAATCGTTCCCTGAAAGGAACTCCGGGATTCCCGGACCGCTATCGACGCCACGCCCACCGACTGGCTAACCACTCGCCACAGGTCTCTAGCCGTTTAGCAGAGAGAGCGTTAGCGTTGAAGAGGGCAGCACCGATGAGAGTCGCATCAATGCGGAAATCAACGGGCAAGGAAGGGGTTCCATTTCTCGGGTTCTGGGCCGTTCTCATGGTTTTTTCTTCATACGGCACCACTGACCACCTCTACCTCAATTCTAAAGGGCTGCCTTCTAGTCATAAACTCTGCCAATAAGCGATTCCAAAACCGAAGAAGAGGGGGCTTATTCGTGAGAAAGTCTTTGTATTTTTGGGAGAGACAGGGAAAGAGTTGGAAGAGAGCTTTTCGGGAGAATGGAGTTGAAAAAAATTCATCAAAATTTGGGCAATTCTCGGAAACTGCGCATACTCAAATATTGGCAATTCTCCGGAAATAGCGCAATTTTCGCCTTTTGTATCTCCAGTCTCCCTATCATTCCTCACCACGCTCGAATGACTTTCTGATAGTGTGGAGGCGACGAAGTACGGATTGCAAGGTGTACAACCGGAGCGTTCGAAGGGAACCGAACGGACGCATCCCAAACATCGCGTTCGAAGGGAAATAGATAGGGCACTCACCTTTGAAAGCGGAGT